AGCCACTCTTGAAAGTTACAGGAGTGACCGTTGGCAACGCATGAGACACTGTGGTTTGCCATTTTTTTGATCCCCGATGAAAAGTACTTTTATCTCATCTACCCAATAATGAGACATCACCTCACAATTAAGGAATTAGACACCATGAGTGTGGAAAAGGGGGAATGATGTTGACACTGATTGTGATAATTTGGATATTCTGTATCAGTTTCATGGTTGGGTCAAGATGTCGCTTCTGCTTTTCATGCGACACCTTTGTTTTCTTTCATAGGACTGGTTGGAGAAGAAAAAAATCTTCCTGTTGGAACTTCAAAGAATAAAAAGAAATAAAGCAGAGAACTTGCATGAAAAAAATGAAAAGGTGTATATTTTGAATAGGTTCAATATAGTACATAAACTGCCATCGGTATTTTTGCATGACCTAAATACTGGGTTGGGGAAGAAATTTGGGGTCACATCTCTGCTCATATCCGAGAAAGCCAGTGTGGTGTCATGGCTGGAATGTTGGATTAGCCACTGGGAGATCTGGATGCAAATTCCCTTTCCACTACACAAGACACTGGGAGTTCTGCAGAGAGAGGCCCCAGCATTTCTTCCCTAAAATTTGTGTGCACGAGAATCACTTCCAATCGTGACTATAGTGCAAGGGCAGAAGGGGGTTTAAGCGTTCCTCCTAACTTTTGCAAGTGCCCAAGGGAGCAAGTGCCACAGGAGGTGGTGGCGGTTACAAGCATGGACGGCTTCAAGAGGGAATTAGATAGGCATATGGAGCAGAGGTCCTCTCTTATGTTCTTATGAGCCATTCCATGGAGTTGAACCCTCAGATTTTAAGCTCACTGGGTAATCTTGTGCCTGCTGCAGGCTGCCCTTCTCTCCCTCCCTGCTTCTCAGCCAATCTCTCAGAGCTGTTGTGAGGATAAAATGAAAACTGTGCAAGCTGTTCTGAGCTCCTTGGAAGATGAAATTAGTATTTGCTTGCTTGCTTGCGAGTGTATTCGATTGATACCTCACCCTCCCTGCTGAAGCAGGCTCAGGGCAGCTTACATAAAAATGAAAACAAATGAAACAGAACATTTATAAAACCATTAATAAAGGGCTTTATACTAGGTGTTTATACTTTGATTTTGAGTGCAAAGTGTGTCCTGAATTTAACTTCCTTAACTATTAGTTTGGCGTAGTGGTTAAGTGCGCGGACTCTAATCTGGGAGACCCGGGTTTGATTTCCCACTTCTCCACTCGCACCTGGCTGGATGGCCTTGGGGCAAGCCGTAGTTCTGATAAGAGCTGTCCTTGAAAAAGAGCAGTTTCTGTCAAGAGCTCTCTCAGCCCCGTCTACCTCGCAGGGTGTCTGTTGTGGGGAGGGGAAGGGAAAGGAGTTTGTCAGCCGCTCTGAGACACCTTTGGGTAGTGAAGGGCGGGGTATAAATCCAATCTCTTCTTCTATTATCTACTACATTGGAGACCACAAGGAAACTGAGTTTCCCCTCCTGCGGATCTGAACCCTCTCGGTCCCAGAGCTTGAGCAAGGCACTTTACCCCCTCTTCTCCCCCTACCCCACCTTTAACTGGAGCCAAGTGGACTCTAGGCATCCTGTGCCTCCTAGAATATGCACACCCGATCAAAATGACCGTGTGACCACATCCTGTAAAGCTCAGGGCCATCCCAAGTGGTGGCCATTCCTCCCTTGCTTGTTCCTGCTGGGTTGGGAGTCCTGCCACCCTCTTGGGTCAGGCCCAGCTCAGACAGAGCCCACTAGAGCTCGGACTGTCCCGCTGCACCAGCAAGCAGGTGCAGGGCTGAATCGCAGTGTCCACAGGCCACCAGGTTGGCTGCTCCGGCTGAGCTTCTGCCCTTTGCCCTCCAGCAAGTATGGAGATGACAATTAGCTATAATCTTTCCCCCCTGAAGTAACAGTCTGAAATCATGCAAAGGGCTGACTTTCATATATTTTGAGGCAGATTGTAGAAACTAAGAATTCCCTTATTTGTCTGACTTCCTATCAAGCCTTCTCTTTCTCCCTGACACCGGCATTGAGGGTCATGAAACGTTCAGACTTTTTTTCACAGCATGTTTGTTCCTCTTGCAGAAACAAGCTGCAAAGAAAGAAGAAGCAACTGCGTCCTTTGAAGCCTGGAAGGCTATGAAAGAAAAGGAAGCAAAGAAATTGGCTGAAAAAAAGAGAATAGAAGAAGAAAAGAGAAAGAAAGAAGCAGAACTAATTGAGAAGAAAAAAGAGGAAGCACAAGAGGCAGTGAGCCATATTTATCTTTCCCATATGAAGCATTTCACTAAAATATTCACTAAGTGAATTTCACTAAAATATTTCACTAAGTGGATATTACAACAAATGTTCACTGTACTTCTGTACACTTACTATGCAGTTTAATGGATGTAGCATTACGTGAATTAATCTGTTGTAAACCACTCATTTGAATAAAACACTAGCATTTGAATAACACGCTAACTTTCCCTTTGGGCATTCCCCACAGCAGTGTTCACTGCTGATAATTTAGCAATAATATTCTCAAAAATTGTAATGCCTGTGAAGGAAAAGGTATAACAAGTAGGAGTGCTTTATGTTTAATAAGTGTATTGAGTACTAAAGCTGTAGCTGATTATTGAGTGGGGCCAATTTTAATCCATGAGGCTGAGAATAGTGCCCACATTCTGGGGCGGGGGTTAGACTATTCAGGTTTTGGTGTACGAGGAAGTTTTAAAACAATGACTTTTCTTTCTTACAAAAAGCAGTGGCACTTGTTTGTCAAATACTACATTATTTCATACCTATATTCCAATTACACAGAAATGTATTTAATTTCATTCAGTTAATTAATTGATAAATCAGTCTAAGACAGCTGATTGATCAGCTAGAAACCCTTTAGTTGGTTTATAATCCTAACACAATGGCATTCTTGATTGGCTTTCTGGGGTTTTTAGGCTTTTGAAAAATGGAAAGAAAAGAAAGCTGAATACTTAAAACAGCAAACCAAAAGGGAGAAAAGAGTTGAAAGATTAAAAAAGAAGAAAGATGAGGAGGTTGTTGCAGAGAAAAAGAAAGATAGCAGGTCTGCTGTTGAAAAATGGTAAGTTGTATAGAATTGGATTTTGTATATGTATATGTACGCAGGCAGCCCACTCAAACCAAGCAGCTTTGAGGACAGAAAAGAATTAATTTATTTTTATTCATAGCTCAAAGTATATCATTCTGTATCACAATATTGCCACTGCCTTTGATGAAAGTTTTATTCATTTGCTTCATGTTTTAAAATAATTTGTGTTGTGCTTTTTAGGAATGAGAAAAAAGATGGTTTCATGAAGCTAAAGAAAAAAGAAAAAATCCAAGAAAGAAAAAAGGAAGTAGAGAAACAATTTGAGAATGAGAAAAAGGATAAAAAAGCTATAGAAGAATATGAAAAATGGCTGGTAAGCTTTGTTTTGGCAATAGGCAAACATTGGTATGGCCAAAACAATAACATTTTGTTTACAAACTTTCTCTGTATAAAAATTGCTAGGTGAAGGCAATATAATCTAATTTTAACAAAGTTTTTTTAAGGGTACATCAAGAAAGTCATTGCTAGAATACATACCAGTGTGTTGGATTCACCAGGCATGTTCAACACACGTTACAAAGTATGTCTCACCAAAATATGATGCTTTGTACTAATTATATAGAAAATAATGTTCTGCAAGATTTCCTGTAATAACAGAAAGAGCACAGGTCACAGAAATGTGCCCTCGATATTATTCCAGTAAAGTTTAGTGCTCACAGTAGCTACTAAACGATGCTTTTTCAACATGTTATCTCTTCATTTCTCAGTCTACCTGAAAATGGGACGTATTTATGGCAGATGAAAGAATTCTATTGATAATTTAGATAATATTAATCATCTAACAAGCCCATGAAAACTGTTCGTACATACAAATAGATGTTTCAGCTAGTCTGATTCAGATTTTTAAGGCATTTTTTCAGTCATTATAATTCTGTATATTTTTAATACTTGGGAAATCACCTGTTTCTGTAGAGCAAGACAGGTGCCTTATGCCACTTTATATATACCATTGCTTTAGTTATATTCAGGGGTCCTTTTGTAGAAAAAGAGGTGCAGGAGCTCATTAGCATAGCTCATTAGCATAGCTTGTTTGCATATGCCACACCCCCTGACATCACCGGAAGTGTGTCAGAAGGCAACACCCACCGCTCAGGCTCCACTGGACTATTTTGGATCGCTGGCTATTGGAGGGGGGGAGGAATGTGCAGATCTGTCCTCGGAGAGGAGGGAGAGCATGTACCTGAATAAAACTTGGTCTTAAAGGTGCCACTGGACTGTTTTGGACCGGGGGGGGGCTCTGCAACTTACCTGGCTGCTTCTTGATCTGACTGAGGGCTGCTGGGAGCAGGGGGTGGGGCTTGTTGCCTGTGCCCGCCCCCTGGGCTCTTTACTGCCGGAGCTCTGCTCCTGTGCGCTCCTGCAGGGAATGAGCCCTGGTTATATTCAGTGTCAGTAGAGTCTTCTCCGGATCACTTTCAGGAACAGCCACTTCTGAAGGTCAGCACAGCCCAGACCCAGCAAAAGCTAGCAACAGCAGCAGCTGCAAAAGTGAGTGAATGTAGATACGTGGTAGCCACTTTTAAAGATAAAATTTTCATTAATGACAGTTGTAAGAATAGTTGTATTTAATATTTTGTGTGTGTGTGTGTGTGAGAGAGAGAGAGAGAGAGAGAGAGAGAGAGAGAGAGAGATTTTTTGGGCACAGAAAGGCATATAGAAGTTTGAACATTCGTATTAATTACTGAACATTTTTTAAGTCGGTGCTGTTGATGTGAATCAAGATGTGAAATTCTGACA